CTGACGAGTTAATTCAGGTTGCACTAGCTAAATTGACGGAGAAGAAAAATGATGATGATGACTTGTCAGCATTTGGCGTAGTGGTGGCTACCCAAATTAGAAACATGAATAAAACGCAGGCAGTCATTACTAGAAAATTAATCAGTGATGCATTGTTCATGGGAAGTATGAATATGTTAGAGACAAATTCACATATTGTGACAGTATCAAATTACAATGAAATTACCATTACCAACTTCTAATTACCATTTCAATAAAGATATGTCTGATTACTGTTGTTGCAGAAGTAATTCTATTGGGATTTTTTATTATATATCATTTTTTCTAAGCATCGGTTTCATCCCAAAAAACTTTAAAACAATAAATCTGTAATTTTTTGTTACTAGTTAGGATGTAGGAAATGGATTACTTCGAACTTGGAGTTATCGTTTTCATTCAGGTTGAACTATTATGGCTGTTTAATTATGATAATGTTTTCATATAAAGGAAATTGTAGCACAATCTATTGCATTGCTTTTTCATATTATTGTTTATTCTAGTGACGATTTGGTTACTTATATTTAATCTGGAAGTACATCATTTTGTATTTATGTTATTACATTAGTATTTTTTATAAAATGCAAATTAACTGCTTTTTTTATTTACCTTCAAATAGTCATCCTTTAAGGGGATCGACCTCAGCAAAAATTTCAATTTTGGCGTTTTTCGGTTTTTGTGCTCATCTGAAAGCTGCAATTCTGCTCTTTCCAATGGTACCACTGCCATCGCTGTACGCCAATATTTACGTTCATAACGTCTCTTTAAAGGGAAGCGGGTGGGAGAGTTCTTTAAGTATTAGATATAAAGTAATAACGTTTTCTATCAATTTTTTCGAAAAATTCATAGGAGCAAAATGTTTTTTTTTTTTACATTTTACGTATGTATGTGAAGTTTCATGACAATCGGATAATAACTGTAGAAGTTTTCGTATGCTGAGGTCGATCCCCTTAAAACAGCATAGATGGCTTCACAAGTTTCAATTACAATAACACTCAACGCACACTTGGAAATTCTTGTGGAATACTGCAGTGATGAATACGAGCAACCTGATGAAAAGAACAGCAAAGTTGGCTCTAATCTTGCTCTAGGAGATATACTGTCTCTCAAAATGGTGTCCAGCTTCTGGATAAGCGGCGCTATTTTCTTTAGAAGACTCTCGAACAACTCCACAGGCAGTCTAGTGTAATTTTTAAAGTCAGATGCATTTTCAAGCGATAATTCTTTGAAAATATGGTTGTGTGAGCCTCTCTCTCCTTTGCAACCATTTCTTCACCCATATACGGCGACGCGGCTAATGCCTCTTCTTAACCGCAGCACACCCGAGAACAATGGCCCACAGCTCCAATTCGGTTACATCCATCCTCACTGACGTCTAGGTGGCAACTAATGTTCAAAGCGCGCGGTCTCGAGCTATCGCTTTACAAACGCAGTGTGAACGGTTGTGCGCGGTGAGGCACTGCAGCAAACGACTCAAAGCGCATGTCGTTGCAACTAGTGTAAACGGGCCTTAACACGTAAGAGCGCAAAGCGGGACCAATCTCAGGGAATTTGTACATGGCTGGGGAAAATTTATCAACATTTTACGGATTTTATAGTGACTTGCAATGTTAAGATAAGTTTTAATACAATGATAAGGGCATGTATTGAAACTATATGCACATAAATAGGAATTTATTCAGGAGCTATAACTGAATTACGGGCAGTGTACCGACCGACGCCTCTCTGCCATGAAAGCTGCGAGTGCTTGAAACCAACAAGTAGATGCACATTGCACACATACATCAAATGGACATTCAATACAAAGGCGTTTTTCTGCTGCTCTTTTGACCTGCATTTTTATGATTCATTTTTCCAGAAGAAATCTAATTTCCAATTAATGTCTTGCAGAGACATTGTCATTATTCTATAATCTCAATACCGTCAACTTCAACACCCACCGGCATGGGTTAGGAGGCAGGAAGTTGCGGGCTGTATATAGAATAGCCGTGAGCGCGGGCACGATCATAGCCTTCAATTTGTTTATGAAGATCAATAGACAATAACATGCTTCTTATACTACTCTCGGTCTCTATATTACTTACGGTCTCAAATCGTTTTGCCGTCGAGGACTGCAAGAGAGGCATTTATGACTCAATTCGAAACGCATAAAAAACAAATTTAGATAAAGATGGGTTTTTACAAATTATTTTATTACAATGAGCTTAGATTTCAAGATAAGTGAAATGGCAATTGACTTTCGCAGGGCCACAGGTAGAAATGATTGCAACACCACTAATTAGTAACCAATCATGAAATGAAATTAATGTTGTCGGACGTTTTTTGGGTATTGTACTCAGTTGATGTTCGTGGTGAAGTAGTTGATCCAACAATCAGTGAAAAGAACATTGGTGAGGAAACAGTACCGGTTTGTTTTGACCTTTAAGATGACAGATCCCGCTTCGGAGGTAGAGGAAGCAAAGAAGGTAGAGGAATTTCTTTCAATGATGATTGGTTGTTTATTAAAAAGTCCCCTTGCTTATTAAAAAATCCCCTAACTAATATGTTTGTTTAAATTATGGCATAGGGCATTTGACACTCAGACCGGAAGAAATGCATTGACGGACGAAACGCAAACCAAGAGAAGTAGTACGTATTTACAACAAAGGAAATTGTGCGCCAATTGTTTGGTTGATTATTAAAAAACTTACTGTCCACTGCTATTTTTTTTAATGTATCTGTGACTTTTTTTCACTAATTCTAACATCAGTAATTCGGAAAATATTGAACTAATTCTGCCTCCAAGTCTGATCAAGAATAATAGGGCAAACTCAATTTTGATAACATTTTGATAATAGGGCAAACTTAATTTTGATAATAGGGCAAACTTAATTTTGATAACATTTTGATAATAGGGCAAACTTAATTTTGAATAATTTAAATAGCTGCCGAGATCACCAAATATGTTTTCCCTAAATCTGTCTTGAAGTTGGCTGGATTAACTACATCGAAGTCTATATCAATTCTGTTGCGAAACTTTTGAGAATCCAAGCAAAATGCAGTGCGGAGCTTTTAATTTTTTTCCCAGTTATAGCGCATTCAACTTAACGTGCTTCAATGTACACTGATTTGAAAATCTTTGGTCATGGGACTTGAAATTATCATTCATCGTTTAGACTAATTATGACCTTCAAGATGATCGTTTCAAGAGATCGTTTTCAACTTGGAATTTTATATTAGTTCAACTCTTAATTATACGCTACACCTCTGAAATCAAACAAAGAAATCATGGATTGACCAGATCTACCAATCCAGACTCATTTGGCATGCAGCAATCATATGGCAATCAGCCGTAATCATGAGCCGACGACTCTAAACTTGATTATTTATTTCCATAGACAGCGGGGCACTGCGGAAGATTCAACACATTATGGCCTATCACGCAAGTATCTGTAAATTATTCATGACTATATATTATGGGTGCAGTTGATTGAATGGTCTAAATTTTATTAATCACAAAACGACCCAAAAAACATATTCCTAGTGAATTTACGTGCAAAGGAAATTAAGATATTCCGCCGGTGCATTGTGGTCCATACGAATTTAATCAAATATTATGTAGAGTTTTTTCCACAAACAATTGGAAACAAGCAAGCACGCAGGACTTCGCGCTCGACTGCAATACAGAACATTTTATTTAGTATTAGTATACATGATAAAGTTTTCTTCAAATCACAAAGAAACTTTTTAGTATGGATAACTTTAAATAATTAAAATTCCGAGGAATCGTGTAAGATGAATATTTAGAAAAGAGAATTTCATATATGCCTGATAATCATGTAAAGGCGGGTCAATCTACTCGGCACTTGATATTAGAAAAGTGATGGGTTTGTGGGGTAAGAGCCATCATTACCCACAGAGTAAACCAACAGTATTGAAAATGAAAGAGACTGGAACTGAGATTTTAATGCAGAGTAAATTGACAACAAAGGTGGGCCTTAAAAATAAATATTAAGCTACGGAAAAATAGTGTAAATAATAATACCCTTGGCAACGTGCGTATCTTTTGAAAAGTAAATCTAGTAAATGATCGTCGCTGAAGATGAATAAAGAAATAATAAAACAAAGAACAATTATTCAAATAATAAAAGGAACCTATTAGAGCTTAAACTGACCTGCAACGGGGATCAGCCGAACGATCAACGAGAAATTGTGTGCGCGACGTCAACTTCCTAACGGTGTTGCCAAGTTAAAGGTAAATTATAATTTTATTACAAAATAAAAGTCGCAAAATGTCTAACACTACAGGTCAATCAGGCAAGGTAATGCAGAAGGATATGGTCTCCTCGGTGTTGAAAAACTGTACGACACATTACTGGAACAAAATTAATTACTCGAGGTTTAAATAGTTATTTTGAGTAGATGAAATGAAGGATTTAGGGCTTGCAGATGGGGGACGGATTATAAAACTGAAATGTATGCCTCGTAATTTTTGTAAAAGGAAATGCATCTTGCCTGTTAATTTGATAGTCACTTACACGTTGAACGTTTTTCAATACTTTATTGCCTTGGAAAGGAAGTAATTTTTAAGTGAATACATGAAACCCAAATAACTCAGAGTGTTGCTTCCATCACGCTAGCAAAATTTTTGCTTTGAAAAGATATTCCAGATTTCTTCATAACATTACATAATGATGTCGGCGCTGAAGAGTAGGCCAGATGTGGCCTGTCGCCGATTCTTGTATTGCAATCACAATTGCAAAGAGTTGTTTTTGATAGATAATAATAATGATTATTTCGACCAAACGCGGTCTTTGAGCTTGGATTGACCTACGTAAGTAAAACGATATTATTGTGTTTAAGCTTAAATCTCCTACCCATGAAATGAAACAACAGTTGATCATGAATTTATTGCGTCATTCATCGATTCTTGTATAACTCGTTTATAGAATTATAACTTCATTAATTAATACAATATACTATGTACATCATTGTTTGAAAATTCTTGAAGACATGAATAAAATGAACTAAAAAGCGTCAAAGTATTCCAGTTACAGTGGCATTTAAGGTTGAATCTGGCACAGTTTATTTCTTGCAATAGTAACTAAAGACGTTCGTCTTAGAACTTGTCTGTGCACAGGATAGAAAAAAAATTCGTCTTCCAGTTGATTTACCACTCAATATAATAGATTTAAATATTTAAAATACATATAGTATAATTCTTCAGATGCCGTATCTGTGCTCAAGAAGAATAACTTAGCTTCACTTACTGGCGGTAAATGAAACTTTTACTCGATCATCTAACAAATGGCCGAAGCAAGTGCAGTAAAAAAATTTTCAGATAAGGGAAAAGCATTACAGAACTTATTGACGTTGAAATGAATTTGCAAATATTCTGAAACAGCTCTTATTTTAGCTCGTCACACTTCGTATTCAATGATGAGATTTGCTTTAGAATATTATATAAGGAATTAGGTGAGAGTGTTTTCATGATATACATTTTTTGTCACTTAATAACTAGCAAAGATATTTCTCATTAATATTTCAACTTTTACACGCAAAAGTGAAGTTTTAAATGATGTAACATCTAACATTACAATTCCTGGCGGTAATTTTAAATGTAAACAAGTCCGTGGGCATTAATTTTGATGGGTGTTTGATGTGCACTTCGACCGATAGATGGCGTGGAAGACTTGATGCTGGGAGAGATTGATATGGTTGAAACGGCAGACTTTTGACGAACTCTGTTGCGATCAGAAGAAGGTTTATCAGACGATGAATTTTCATTTAAGTTCCCACCAGAACGGCTGTAGGTGCCGGTTAGAGGTGATAAGAAATTACTATCTATCTTTTGTAAAGAATTTACTCGAGTAACTGAACCTGTTGACAATGACTTTAAAGCTTGATTTACGGTTGGGGAAAGAAATTGTTCTTTAGTAGCTGCTCCTCGTCTTCCAGCCACAGGCGAACCATCTCTCGACACGTCTGTGGAAAAAATCGACTTATGTTTTCCTCGGAATAACTCAGGAGATGAGTGATGATGGAACAACGTGTATTTCGGACCACCGCTATCGTCTTTTTCTGATTTCGAGTTAGACTGGCGTCGACGAACGCGGTCTTGTATGCGTTCACCGTAGCCTGTGTTGGGAGGCGCGCGCGCCGTATTCGTGCCAATCGTGGATCGCAAAGTAGGGGACGGAGATGTGCCCCTGGAAATGGCTTCTTTCTCTGGTACCTGCAGGAACTGGGGAGGCGTGGCCTCCAGGGCCTTCTTGACACGAGTCAGGACTAGACCCGTGTCGGTTCCATGTGTCATCATTTTGGGTGCAGATTGGGAGCTTTCGTTGGACGAGGAGCTGCTAAACCTTTCCAAGTTGTTCCTCGTGTTTCTGAGTTGAAGAACATCGTCAGATTGTACTGACATTCTTTTGGTATCACTGCTTGATGGTGCAAAAGGATGATCATTTACATCTGCTTGTCTTACTATAGCGCTGCTTTTTGGGATTAACAATTTCCCCGTGTCTGCCAGCTTGTATAAGCCATTACTCTGTAACACATATTCTGATACTTCTTGAAAGATGAAACCTTCTTCCTGCTTTGTGTCTGCTATGTTACCTCTGAATAACTCATCACCACGCTTCACGGTGTACACGCCTCTGGAGTCATCTCTCTCTTTCAAGAAAGCAAAATTGTGCTGGGGCGCTGCAGGAGCCAAAGACCCTTGTCGCGCCACCACGCGGTACTCGGGTCTGAGTGACGTCATCGCCGCGGTGTGGCGGGGGCTGCGCTGCAAGAGTCGTTCTTGGCTCGCCACTGCGATGGTGTCCTCGAACGTGGATTTGTAGGATGGCTGCAGCGGAGGAGCCACCTGCCGGGCCCGGAACGTCCGCGGAGGTTCGATCTGAAAAAATATATATATTAAGTATGAAGTATATACATTTTAAGTAAGATGAATATGTATCTGCGCGCGTAGCGGAGTGCGTCTTGTGTACATTAAGCAAATTTATCGGCGTTAACATAAATTCACGTTCATAAAAACGTTTCTTTCGTTTCATTGATTAGATTTGTGATGGAAGTTAAGCAATATTACTTCTTAGAATTATTTGCATATATAATCCATATTATTTTGCTTCGAATTAATTTAGAAGCGCGGCAATACAATAGTTTATTTGTAAGTGTAATAGTATGTGTTTCCAAATAAAACACTCAAATCTCATTGGGTTGGCGAAGCAATGTTACAGAATATTTTCAACCAAAAAATGCTAAAAATACGTGTAAATATTTTAAATAAATCTCAGTCGGGATACAAAATCAACTCCGTACTTATGCAGCCGTCATGTTTGTAGCGATGAGAATTGTGAATTATTTGTTCGTTACAAACAATTAATCTTTCTTTAAATTAAACTTGTTAATCTAGCTGAAAGAACTAATTGCTGCGAATTAAGTAAATTGGGCTGTTGAGGAAATGATAATTAAATGGTAAATCATCTAATAAAACTGGTGCGAAAAGCCAGCCAGTTTCACTCGAGTTCTATTTCAAGCTCATTTTAATATCAGTCCTGACAAATATACGCTGCGTTAGGAACAATGTTCAGAACATTTATTATCTCAAATTTCATGACGTTTATTAGCGTCTGCATTACATACGACGCACGTAAAAGCAGACCAAAATATCCAGCCTTGCACGCGGCTATTCGACCAAATGATTGTCTGGTAACGAGCCGAGCGCTGTATATATACTGACGGGTTCCAGTCCACTGAAAGTCTTTTTTAATGCATTACTCGCTTTATGCCTTTAATCAAGCAATGCAGCCGCGAGGAGCATACTAGTTAAGAAATTACATTCTATTTTTCTTCTGATAGATAATATACCCTCTTGGGACCTTATGGTGACAGTGCCATTCATTTGACATGCTTCGTGTTATGTACGCAATTTGTGATTACTGTCGGGAATTACTACCGATAATATATTTACCACAATGCTTCTACCGATAATTTTTAGCTCATTTTTTCATTTATGAAAAAAATGCACTATTGTGCTCGCCATGTCCGTCTGTCTGTCTGTCCGTCCGTCCGTGACCTCAAGTTTTCGTCGACGAGAAAATGCGCTCTCTGTCACTCACTGCAGTGAGTTATATTTTTTACTGCAATTTCTGGCAACTCAGACTACCATGGCTAACTTTAAAGCACTAAAGCGATCATTTTCCCCAAATTTTATAATATGATATAATGCATTATATATGCAAATAATACCGTGAGTTTTCTAATTCTCGTAGTCATAATTGCAACGATTGATGTGATTTTATTAACTGTCACTTTATGAGACCGTTTTAGAGAAACGAATCAATTTCAGCAAGTAATTTCGTCGTCCGCAGTAGCCTTCAAATTGAGCATAACCCAAAATTAAAACGCCCGAAGTAAAACAAAAAAGTCTTGAAATTTCTAAAAACGTTTCTATAAATATTTCGAAAAGTTACTATGCATGATTGAAAGTTTGCTTTGTATTTTTATCAACAACAACCGAGCCTGTTTTCTGATTTTCCATCGAACCCCGATAGCAGCAGGGGTTTTTCCTTGCCATTTGAGACACCTTGTATGTCATGCACATAAAACAAGCCACATAAGATATAAAGATAAATGAAAAGAGTACAGAATAGAACGAATCATGCAATAAGTGACAATGCCATGGAAGCTATTATTAAAACAAGTAGCGAGCTATAATAGGACAAAGCTTAACTGAAGAAGGAACTGTAGGACTTCATAAGAAATTTATAAGGACACATACGACTCGCTGAATATTGTTAACTTCGTATGGCGAGTTAGTCATATGCACACGGAGCATTAATAGAAGCGTTGCATTATAAGATCAAAACTGGTAGCTTGAGACACAAATTAACTGCAAAATACAAATTAACTGCAGAACCCTGTAATATTAGTACAAAATAACGTTTAATTAACTATAAATTTATAAGCATTAAGACTGGCGCAAAGTTCATCTTGATAAATTTTTGACAATTGTATGCCATCATCGCTCTATTTTGCTCACATCCTAGTATTAGATCAAATGATTGCTACATTAAAGCATTTAGATGGTGCAAGCGACACGCTATTGGAAGAGCAGCATGCACCTGTGAAAAAGCTTGCGAACGTTATATTGTTTAGCTTAAAAAATTTTTAAAGTTAAAGTCAGAACCCTGTAATATTAGTACAAAATAACGTTTAATAACGACAAATAACTACGAAACAACGAAGCAGTTTATTAATCAATTGACAAAGCTAAGCAATCAAGTAATTTCCAGCATGGGGAAATTTGGGTTATTTTAAAAAGACAGTTTTTTAAGAAAAGTGAACAAAAAGTAATAGATTTGCGTTCCAGATTTCACTTCAGAATCCGGGAATATATATTGTCCCTCCATTTATGGAATTCGCACGGATATGAACAAAATTAATTTTCCAGTTCGCATTTGTTACTTAGTCGCCGCAATCATTCCCCGACGCGAGTCAGGAATATTGTCATTCCATTAATGTCAGCTCACACGATTATTTTTTGCAAGCATTCCCTGACGCCACTCATTAGTGAGAGGCCAGGTGCGCCATAATGTGCCACGGACTGAATGCCATAATTGCATTCACGAAGAGTGCGCCGGCGTGCGTGACGCGGCCGCTACAAAATGACGCGTCTCGCCCCTTGTAGCCAACAATGACGCCACGCCTCTCGGTCTATTTTTGTCGTATACGCGAAAAATAGACCAAGACAAAGAACTAACTGAGCCTTGGTAACAATAATTAAAACGCGGTGGCTTAAATTAAATTTCATTGCATTCTGCGCATGGGGAACTGGTGTAAGTTTTCGGTAAAAACTATTGAGTTTTTACTGTAGGATTAACTTAGAACTGCACTATTGGTATAAAGTGTAAGCGGAATGATTGTCGTACAGAGCGATTGTCTTGTATTGTATGCAAACTTATTATCGTAGTTTGATTAACTTTGCAGACCAGTTATTTATCGAACTGCACGATTAATTAACCTGGAGCTATAAGTATGCATGCACACACGCGCTGGCGTGATTTATCTTTTCTGAAATCGAAAATTTTGATGAAATGCTTAGTGCATAATATTATAAAGCAAGTGAAGCGAACTTCAAGAAACAGAAAAACAGCAGAGACCAGAAAAGTTGAAAAATTCCACAAAATAATTCATTAACACTAATTTTCCCCAAGATTTTAAATTTTTGCCTTTTTTATAACTACGGATTATATTTGGCCAATTTTATATGAATTTATATAAATAAAATTTTATTTAAAAATATAACTCAGTACTCACTGCAGTGAGTGACAGAGAGTACACATTTTCTCGTCGACAAAAACGTCAAGTCACGGACAGACAGACGGATGGACGGACGGACATGGCGAGCCAATAACGCCTTTTTTCATATACGAAAAATGCGCTAAAAATAAGTAGCGTAACACAGCTTTATAGCTTGTTGATAAAGTTACATATTCGGTGCTCATGTGTACCACAAAGTGTGCATAGGCTCAGCGGGACACCTGCTCTTGTTCGATGTGTTAGGACGATCAATATCTTCTCAATATTAGAGTGAGCCATTGCAACGCTTCAGCCGTCTGCCTCACCTCTGAACTATTCCAATGAAGCGGTAGCTCACATTAAATGCAAATGAAAACCTCGAGCTGAGTGTTCCTTGTGTTCATTGTCATCAAGTGACATAAGTAGTGAACAGTTGACGGACGGTAAAGTTAATGATTTTTTTGCGGCGTTTAATTGTAAAGCTTCTAACAACATGAATAAAGTAGGATAATTTTCGCTGTGGATTGAAGTGAATTTTTCAAGTGTAAGCTTTTTTGAAACAAGTAACCAATAAACCGGCAATTCAAGGAAACGAATTAAAAATACTTACCAACAAAATACTGGCAAACTACTATAAAAAATTTAATAAACGGAAGTAATATTAACGATTGAGCTTTGAACGTTCAAATATATACGAAGTAATGAAATCACAACGCAATGCCATAATTCAAAGAGATGAATAAAGCAACGCAAAATTTCAGCGAGGGATTACTGAAAATCCTGCAGCCTGTAATACGCAATGAGACCAATCTCTTCATGTCGATATTCCATAGAATTTTAAATAAATAAAGACACTCGTTTTCATCCGCACAAGATGCAAATAATATATTCAATTATGTCCTGCAAATATGACAGGAGGAGAAAGTTTCGTAAATTTTTTTCGAATGAGTAAAGGTTTGTAGAAAATTTGAAAGTTACCGATGAGGCAGAATTTGCTATGTCGCAGGATACAAATTGATTTAATTATTTAAACGTTATTTAAGGTAATGATTTGTTACTCCTTTTAAATTTATGCCATTTTTTGAATGGAAAAAATATGATAGCACATAAAAAAGTCTTAAAGAAAGCACATGAACAAAAGCACATAAAAGTTTTTGTGCAAATTTTAGTAAATCGAGCAGTGCTAAGTGTTTATTCGATAATTTATTGAATCGTATAATTATTCGTGAATAAAAAAAGTTCATAACATTGTAAAAAAGTTAATCATGTTAATTGAACGCAGAGATATAATAAAATAAATTCAACTAAACTAGAGAATCGGAGACACTCATTAATGAGCCGGACAACCTTCATAATGAGAGTTTTTTATGACTCAGAACGAACAAATGATTGATCCTCTTTTTTTCGTTTTATTATTAATTATTTAACTCGTTAGCAAGTAGCGTAATTATTAATGCAGAGAATAAAAATTTATGGGCGAATAACTAAAATGCGCCCTAAATGTTTACTTGAATGAAAAATATTAAGCAGACATCAATTGGCTATATTGAACTATGAATTAAATAAATCTCAAATCTTGTTGAATTTAATCGTGTGACGTCAATAAGCATATCGAAGCCTGGCCGCGCCCCTGCTGTGTTCATAGCTCTGCCGCCGCTGCTGTTGATCGATGCTGAAGATTCTTTTTTATTTAGGATTCCTAAATAAGTTTAGGATTTAGAAGATTCTTATTCCTACACATCCACTACGGCCAGCTCAGCCCTCCTCTTACCAACATGCTTATAATTACTGAAACTTTTTCATGCTAAAATTCAGTTTCGACTGAATTTAATAAGTCTTTTACATCAGGCATTATTCTACATGGAGATATTAATAACTCAGATCACAACTCTTTTGTTTGGTGCAGAATTTAGATCGTGAACCAATTGCCGAAAGTGTGAAAGCTCTCCAGCATGATTTTTATGTCATAAAATTTGATGATTGATTTTATGAAATTAAAAATGTATAGGAGTTTCTTCATTTAGATTTGACTTTTTCAAATGGGTCATCGATGTATTCATTAATTGATGAAATGGTTGGCAGTTGCTCGAAGGCAGAAAGTTGTGCTCAGTAGCAACATCGCCATACCTCTATTATCTCCATACTCCGTGTGTACTGCTAAACTGTATTATGATAACATTATTATGATAACAGTGTTGCGGCCAAGAGTAAATAGAATATGTAATATAAATTTGCATTTTGGAATTAGTCATAAGTTAGAAGTCGAAAGAAATGATAGCTACACTGATTGTCATTATTAAATTATTACAATGCGTAGATGGATACAGTAAGTATAGATTTTTAATAGTTCGCGAGTAGGTACATTCAAGAACAACGAAGCGTAAGCGCAAAGATGGTTCTTCCACATTAGTTTTCAGCCTTGGAATTTGTTACAAAAATACCCTTTTATTCTAATTCAATCTATTTCCCAGAAGTGAAGAATTTTCAACCAACTAATCAGCAGCTTCATGATAACATTAAATTCTTGTTCTTAGTTAGGCCTAAAATTGCACTAGAAATGCATTGAATGTGACAGTTAAATTTTAGTGCATTTTAAAATTAGCTTCTAACATTCGACAGCCAACTATAAATTTCGTGTCCATTATTCAGACGATCGAAGACGTAATTCCAGGAGAAGTATTGATTCAGACGCAAGGATTGATAACAGTGGTAAATGAAAGTAGAGGGATATCGTTAGTTTAGTGACAACACTCTGACATGTACTTGATATTTAGTGATATAGTTAGTTTAATGACAAGACTCTGACATGTACTTGATATGGAATTATATAGTTAGTTTAATGACAACCCTCTGACATGTACCTGATATTGAATGATATAGATAGTTCAATGACAACCTATAACCTGACAACTGCGAGTGGTCATCTGTAAAGGGAGCTGCTAGTTCGTTACTCTGCCACTTAATTGCGATGATATTCATTAAAAGCTAGGAGCGAGGACTATAGTGTCTGAACAGAATAAAGAGAAAGGTATGATGTAAACATCATTGATTTTTTGGGCTCGGCATGAGGTTTCTGCACATGGTAGATTCATTGGGTGCACAGGCTGCCTATTTCGATCATTAGGACGGAAATATATCGATAATCCTAACGTAGTATGAATTGCTAAGCATTCCATAATAATTCTAATAATAATTTCTAATAATAGTTCACCGCTAAATACTGAAATATGAACTATAAGATTCTGATCGCAGCTAGTCAAATTTTTTGAAGAAAAATTCCAATATACTGTTGACTTGTAAATGTGGAAGCCATATGGCGCAAAAAAAGCTCGAAGATAACATGAGTACGTTATCTTGCTTAATAGTGAATACGTTATGAATACGTTATCTTGCTCATGCATACGTTATCTTACTTAATGGTGAATACATGATGAATACGTTATCTTACTTATGCAGACGTTATCTTACATACTGGTGAATACGTTATGAATACGTTATCTTAACTTATGAGTATGTTATCTTATTTTCTTATGAATACGTTATCTTATTTTCTTATGAACACGTTATCTTACTTTCTTATGAATACGTTATCTTATTTTCTTATGAACACGTTATCTTACTTTCTTATGAATACGTTATCTTACTTACTTAAGAATACGTTATCTTACTTTCTTATGAATACGTTATCTTACTTTCTTACGAATACGTTATCTTACTTACTTAAGAAAACGTTATCTTACTTAATAGGTCTTATAACGCTAAAACAGTTCGAAGTTAACATTAGTAAGGGACACTTAAGTATACTCACGCGGTGAGGGTACACTGGCGTACTGGCTCCAGATCCCATGTCCTCAGTGCTGATCTTCCAGGAATTACTCCGTCAACAACTCAATGGTTTTAGGGGTGACTACGTTAGTAATATTTACACTGCAGATAAGATCATGGTAAATTATGATCTCAAGAATTTGCATTTTCATGGGTTCTGTTTTTAGAGTTTCATTAATGATTTATGCTCAAGATTTTCGTTATGAATTGAGAACGTTTTTTGACCAATTGCCGAACCTTCACACGATTCTGCCTTTTGCAATTAAGCAGGTTAGCTAATATATTACGCAATGAAAAAGTCTTGGCAAAAATAAAATAATCGAACTTGAGAGCTTAGATTTGACCAAGAATATTCTAAGTTGACCAGCGTCGTCGAACCACGAACATAGCTAATTCAAGTTCCTGTATAATTTGAGTCTATTTAAGAGGGAATGGTACTCGGTAAATTACATGATATCAAGGTTTCTTTATTTGTTATTTATCTTTATCTTTTAAACATTCATACGTAACTTTTAGCTTTATGCTGGTTCGAATCTAACGATTTTTTTAGATGGATGTTTATGTTCATAAAGTGTTTTGTCTGAAAATTAGAATAGAGATGCATGAAAATCATGCGCAGTGATCATAACACGACATATTCTGAAAAGTTTTACCACTGCTCTTAACAAAGTTAAACTACTCCATGGTTTAGACCTTTTTAGCCTATGCCCTAAAAACATTCTATACAACGAATATTTAAAGAAAAAGAACTTAATAACGATTAATTTTTATGAGAACTCCCATACAACCAATTTAGTGAAATGTAACCTGGAAGACATGAATATGAGCCTGAAGTTGTAGGTGAAATATGTTTTACTTGGACCTAGAAAATATTCGAGAAAGAGAATCACAAATGCATTTTCATGAAATTCGTTAGCACACATATTGAATGATAAAACTTCCATTCAAATATTTTAATGAATGACACTTGAGAAATACACGAATTTTCGTTCTGGACACATGTGAAATATTAAAACTTTCTCAATAACTTATAACCAACACGCTTATTTTGGCTAGAGTATAATGGGTTCCAGAGGTAATATATGTGTCGGGAGTGATAATCAATGAGATTTAATGGTAATAAACAATAAACAATAAAGTCCATCACACATTTTCTTGGATGTTTCTGATGCGATTTTCACAGATGGCCTAGGTGCAAAGAATTGAATTAGGGATAAATCGATATCACGTCTGGGTAAAGTTAAACTAGTAAATAACAATATTATACTGGATCAAATTTACGCAAATTATAAATGAGTAAGTAACTAGAAGGCAGCACAGAGGTTTCTGACACGTTACTGAACTCCAAGACTCTTGTGCTGAAGGATGTGAATAACTGGCGACTAACTCTACGGGTTTTTAAACCAGAATTTAAGTATCATTGAATCAACGTACATGGTAATTGATATTAAAATTTGACAGAAAATACCTCAATGAAGTTGATGCTTGAGAACTTATTGGCTTTGCTAAAGATAATATTACCTAGAAAACTTCAAGCAAAATTTATCAGAAATTTATTCAAGTTTCTATATCGTTCGAAATAAAAGCTAATTTCATTTTTTCAAAATTTGTTCCCTCATCACTGCTCTTATGCGAAAATTTTTTATAAAATAGCAACATTTTAGTCTCTCAATGCATAAGCCTGGAGACGAACACATTATAAATACGACAGCCACGTCTACTACTCCACTTAACGAACAATATCCAAGGCCACAAATTGATGCCATGCAATCGTGACGCCTCCAGCGCCGTGGCGACACTCGTCAACAAACAAGGCAACGGAGCCACACACTCCACCTCGCACGACGGCTCGCGGCCGAATGAGCAGCTCCCAAGATTTATGAACAACACGACAGAGATTATATATTTATTTCATGTTTCTTTAAACGTCTTTTTAGTCGTTGATGCTTGTGAGAATTAATGTACATAGTTTATATAGTGAATATCTCAAGACATGGTTTATATAAGAAAGTTTAATGATGTAAACGAAAAATAAAGAATGTTAATTCTTGAAGCATTATATCGTGGGACAAATCTCATACTACAGCCGAAATAAGACGCTCTACTGAGCATCGCCATGCGACCGACGTCAAGTCTCTTGATGTGGCTAGGGGACAAAGCTTGAGCATTTATTTTCTCTTAAAAAAGTTACTGACATATAACAGAATTTTGAGTTAATGTGAGTAATAATTCACAGATTCATTATTTTCATAATTCTTTGGAGCAAAACCTAGTAAGGAGGTGATAAACCGTTTTTGAAGCAATAAACAAAGAAACACGTAAGGAATTTAGATAACAGGCAAAACCTGCCTATTGCAGGCAAATGGAAAATAATTAATATAAAAAATAAATAGCATAATAAAATAATATAATGTAAAATAATTCAATTTACAATATGTCGTTTCTTCAATGAATAGAAAGAAACTCAGTGTTGAAATTATAAGAAAAATCTATGCGAGGCACAACAAAGAATTGAACAAATTTATAATGTGCAAGTAAAAGTATTTGCAATATAAATTATGCGAAACTAGTTAAAAGAAGTTATGACCAGCGGGGAAAGCTATTGGGGAAGATCTAACAAGAAAACTAAAACGAGTAGAACTGAGGATATAAAACAAATATATGGAAGAGAAGGAAAATTAGTAGAAAAAGTTTTTAAAACTGAAAGAAAGAATGAAAGTGGAGGCAATTAGGTTGCAAACCAACGAGAGATTGGCCACTGACATCAGCCAAAAGGAAAAAGAAAACGCAAGTTTTAGGAAGCAAATAATTAGAGTATTAAGAACCTGACGAGCGTACGGCTGACTGAATATTATTTTGAATATTTTCATACAAAAATAGGGCACAAGAGAACTATTTGATCGAATGCTAGCTTGGAAATTAAGATAATAAAAAAAAATTAGTAGATTTTCTATGGGAAAACTGATGTAGGATTCTAGATAATCTTTTCTAAATTAACATAAATAAATTGTTAAACTCCTCTTTTATTGGCGTGATGTAAAATAAAAGTTACGTGAAAGTTCAGCTGGGGCAGCATGTTGTCGTCGCCATAGCAACGGCTCGAGGGAAGTCGCCAGTTCACGTCTGCATTAAAACAGCCAGGGAAATAACGTGATCAATGAGCCACGCAGTCGTTCATCTCACGCACGCGCTGCACGAAACACGCGCCTCCCTTCGTGTCAGCGGCGCACGCACTCGCTACACGTCAGACGTGACCTTAGCTGACCAACGCATGCAGGGCTCACTGACTACTTAATGCTGCCTGGTACATGACTGACTACTTACTGCTGCCTGGTGCATGACTGACTACTTACTGCTGCCTGGTGCATGACTGACTACTTACTGCTGCCTGGTGCATGACTGACAATGAAATGCTTTTAGTGATTAATATTATGAGAACCGTATGATGATCTGAAATTGACTTTTCATAAAAGTGATGGCCTCTGAAAAATCATGATTATGTATTTTTCTAGGCCATAATGAACTCAATATTTACGAACTCAATACATTAATGCAGTAGGTATGTATATAAAATATTAGTTTTTTCAAAATTGTATTACTTGCACTAGTACTTTCCCAGACTATTTTAATATTTCTTGGAGTTGACATCAACCACGTATTAATACTCAAATAATTTTTAAAATTAATAAAACTAAATAATAATACCAAATAATTAATATTTGAGCGTAATAATACACAGCAAATATGAAATTAGGAAAAACTCCTACAATAATGTTCTCTGCATGGTGTTGTATCTGGCAGTAGTGAACGTTATGTTTACGTCATGTTCGAAACTTGACATCTTCGTCTTGTAAAATTTGTTTGCTCGGCAAATATTGCCAACATCAATTTGATTGATCTTATCGCGTGCGCTTGTTTTAAATGGTGGGTAAACATTTTACCTTCCCCGAGTACAGTTCATCATCAAGTTGATAACACGGATGAATAATTATCATGTTCAGTTTGGTAAAAAGTTTATCCCGTTCAGCTTGGTAAAAAGTTTATACGCAAAGTTAGTATATACTTGAAGTTAGTTGCGTTCTGTCAAACTATAAGACCTTCATTCAGCATGTGCGAACGATGATAAGCCATATTTTTAACTAGAATTTAAACAACAAATTATGAGGTGAATAAATCGGTCATTGAAAAATAATTGCTGCCTGTGAGATAAATTCGCTGATTTTTGGCTTGCAAAGTTAAATAAATTTTCCGAAAAAATGTTTAAGGCGCGAAGACAAATTGAGGGCGGAGATATAATTTGCTTGAATGTAATTAATTTATGCATGCTGTTTACACGCCATTTTTCATGTAGTATGAGAGATAGGCAGTATGCAGGGGCTGAATGTTTCCTTAGTTGATCGCAGCTAGACTATTAATATCTTGCACATTTTGGTTTATTCAAAATAGGTTTTTATGTTTTATTGAGTGGTACAAAGAACTTGCTTGTGATTTAAATTATAATTCAGTTAAACGACGGCTCAGTCAAACGATGGCTTAGTAAAACGATGGTTTAATCAAACGATGGCTCAGTCAAACGATGGTTTAGTCAAACGATGGCTCAGTCAAACGATGGCTCAGTCAAACGATGGCTCAGTCAAACGATGGTTTACTTAAACGATGGTTTAGTCAAACGGTGTCTTAGTCAAACGATGGCTCAGTCAAACGAAGGTTCAGTCAAACGATGGCTCAGTCAAACGATGGCTCAGTCAAACGATGGTTTACTTAAACGATGGTTTAGTCAAACGGTGTCTTAGTCAAACGATGGCTCAGTCAAACGAAGGTTTAGTCAAACGATGGCTCAGTCAAACGATGGTTTTGTCAAACGATGACTCAGTCAAACGGTGTCTCAGTCAAACGATGGTTTTGTCAAACGATGGTTTAGTCAAACGATGGCTCAGTCAAACGATGGTTTAGTCAAACGATGGCTCAGTCAAACGGTGTCTCAGTCAAACATTGGCTCAGTAGGTCTTCAGTATTTCAGTGATGCAATTGGCTACCTCACCAGCACTTATACCCTTGACGTCGATATGCTTCCCCTCAGTGCTCAACTGTACATATTGCGGTGCTCAAAGCACAATAGTTTCATTCATCAATTTGTTTGAACTATTTCTTCAGACAGAAATTGTTTGCATGAAGAGTCGCTTTAGTAGAAAACAGAGTCGAGCTCTTTAATGTCAAGAAAAGTTATTTCGGCCTTGAAATCATCGCGGTCCTGAAGGTCCTGAAATTTTTGCGCTTTAGTTAACAACGCGTGCTGGTATTACCAGAAACAATCATTTCAAATCCTCATTAATTTGTTTAAATTGTCTTGAGCGATACGTAAAGAAATGAGAGCTCACGTTTCGAAAACGCATCACGAGTCTGAAAACATGCGCCTCGTTCGTAAAATGGTGTATAAATAGTATAGTGAGGCATAAATTCATATATGTATCTTGGACAGTAATGATATAAAAAACTGGAACTTCAACTAGAGGTGATATTCTATCATTTATTTTAAATGTTAGTTAACCTCCGTCCAAAGTTCAAATAAGATGTAGGAACA